TAAAAGAAACAATTAAAAAATTAAAAATTAAACACTAAGTGAAAATATCTATTTATGCAAATACAACATGATACTTAAGTATTTAAATGGGGGCTGGGGATGTGGCTCAAGCGATAGCGTGCTCGCCTGGCATGCGTGCGGCCCGGGTTCGATCCCCAGCACCACATACCAACAAAGATGTTGTGTCCGCCGAGAACTAAAAAATAAATATTTTTTTAAAAAAAAGTATTTAAATGTACAGAAAAGTGGAATATACACCAAAGTGGTTACAGTAACTACGAACAGAGTGAAAATGTATCTGTGTGTGTGTGTGTGTGTGAGAGAGAGTGCACATGTGCATGTGTGTCCCCAAACATAAGCCAATATAGGAGTTTAACTGTAGCAAAAATGTATTTAATTTAATTTAATTATTTATTTTGTGGTGCTGGGGATCAAACTCAGGGCTTCTGGAAGAAAAACAAATGTATATTTTGCTTATGAAGTAAAAATCAACTTTAAAACAGCAATCAGAAAGAAAAAAAGGGTGTAGGTCTACATGTACATAGGCATCTAAGACCTGGTTAAACAACAAAAAAATAAACAAAAAACACGTGCAGTGGTGTATTGACTATAATCCAAGCAATTCAGAAGGCTGAGGCAGGAGGATCTCAAGCCAGCCTGGACAACTTATTGAGACTCTGTCTCAAAGAAAATTTTAAAAAGGGTTTGGGGGCTTGGGATGTGGTTCAAGCGGTAGTGCGTTTGCCTGGCATGCACAGGGCGCTGGGTTCGATCCTCAACACTACATAAAAATAAAAAATAAAGATAATGTGTCCACCTAAAACTAAAAAATAAGTGAAAAAAAAAAGAGTTTGGGATGTAGCTTAGTAGTAGAGAATGCTTATTTAGCATTTGTGAGGCCCTGGGTTCAATCTCCAGTACCAAATAAATAAATAAATAAGAAACTAAATAAGGTAACCACAAACTTTCTTAGATCCCTAGTAGCAATAAATAAAATAAGAGAAACCTAAATAGGTTAACCACAAAGTTTTGTTAGATTAAACACTCTAGGAAGTGGGCAAAGGCTAGTTTATTGACATGTCCCCAGGCTGTTTGTGAAAAGTAAGTTACCACTGCACACAGTGGCACACACCTGTACACCCGGCGACTTGGAAGGCTGAGGCAGAAGGATCATTAGTTCAAAGCCAGCCTAGCAACTTCGCAAGGCCCAGAGCAACTTAGTAGTGAGACCG